GGTTTTAATGTTTTCTGTGGTTTCATTCATGTTTTTGTGTGTTACAAATAATACACAGCTATTTGGGTTGAAAACGATAAATCCATGTAGGTAGGTATAGAAAAAGTAATACAAAATGAGAGAGATATATTAAAATAGTAAGTAAACAGAATGGTTTAACCATTATTTATTGCCTTTTATAGATTAATTTCTTATTTATTAATATAATTTGACTTGAACAAATTTATATTTCGCAAATATTGACATCTTTGTTTGTTTCATTAGCTTAGCTGGAGTGAACTTAATTTGTGGTGTCGGTAATTTGATTGTACTTTTCTGTTAATAAATGAATGAGTCATTTGTGTGTTTTGACACTGAGTGATAAATCAGGTGAAATTGCTACAAATCCATGAAAGTAAAGCTAGTTTGACACTGAAGTTTTTTTGTTTCTTTTGTTTTTTATCCATCTGTGTAAGTTTGAGGTCCATGTCAAAATCAAAGGCATTCATATGTAAAGGACCTTAAGTTATCTTTTCGTTATGAGTCATGGGTGTTGCGCTTATGCTTTATAGTAGAGTTTTGTTTAATAGATCACTTTTCACCAATGGTACTAAAAGTTCCAATCTCAGCGTCCCTGCTCAGACATGATTTACTTATTTATACCCAGGAGAAAGACCTGTGTGTAATTAGCTAAATTGTACTGCTTGTTAAGTTACTTGGATGTTACTCTGTAAAATAATCTGTAACACGCTGTCTCATAATAAAAACCTGAGGCTACAGCCCTACACACCAACAAATCCCTCTCCTAATGAGGACACGTGATCTTTCTCTGTTAGGTATGAACACAAAGCAAAGAAGGTGTGGCTGGAGTGCATCCCAGCTACCATGGGGCGAGATGCATGGTACACGCTGGAAAGGGCGCCATCCTGTCATTGGTTTAACACAGGGGTGTCAAACTCCAGTTCTCGGGGGCCAGTGTCCTGCAGGTTTTAGATAACACCCTGGGTCAACACACCTGAATCAAATGATTAGTTCATTCCCAGGGTTCTGGAAAACTCCAAGACATCTTGAGGCGGTTATTTACCTTTAAATCAGTTGTGTTGTATCAAGGACACATCTAAAACCTGCAGGACACCGGCCCTCGAGGCCTAGAGTTCGACACCGGTGGTTTAAAACATAAAGATGAATAACTATTCACACCTATGGGCAATTTAGAATGACCAATTAACCTAACCCCAGGTTTTAGGTTTAGAAAAGAACCGGTTCTGTTCCCTGTGTAATAACATAACTTAACTGGAATTAATTTAAAACACGCCTTCATTTCTTTTGCTTTAATGTCCCATGCGGCGATCCGTAGGATATGAGCGCCCCACGTGACCGTTTACAGCAAACCTCAGCAGAGTAGAGACAGCGGGAGAAGAGTTGCGCGTGCGCAGACGTGGCTGCCGTCCTATGAAGCAGACCGAGCTCACACAAAGTGTCGCTGCTGTTCCTGTCGATCAAACACCAATAAAACAGCGTCGCTGCCGCTTCTATCGACCCGCCGCAGCTGACGCAGCCATGTGTTCAGCGGAGTCTCTGAGAGAGTTCATACAGGAGAGGCTGACTGCTGTTTGTCAACAAATCTTCTGCGAGGTTCAGAAAACCATCGTCCAGTATGAGGAGGAG